AAAAAAATGCACACATCTCTCACACACACACACACACACACACACACACACACGCACACACACAAAGACCATGTAGGTCTGGCTTCTCCCCTAACTCAGAATGTCAGGAAAGGGTGCTGTAGCCAAAAGGCTCTGGGCTTACCCACCACAGGTGTTCAGGAATCTCTAGGCCTTTCTTACCCGGTGGAGAGCAGACACTGTCTGGAAGGATGAGCCCTTTTTCTTGCCTCCTTTGCCTTTACCACTGTCCCCTAAGAATAAGAGAAGGAATGATGAAGAAGCATTTGAAAACACAGGAGCCATGGCAGGGTAGAACTACAGCTCTCAGAAGTTGTGTGACTTTGGGCAAGTTACTCTCCACATCTTAGTTTAGAAGGGTGGAAGTAACCACCTCTAAAAGCTTGAAAGAGCATTAAGATCAAGCGCACAAGGTAGCTCACCAGTAGTTATAGAAATACTATCAGAGCCCCATTCCTCCCTCTTTTAGTCCCGCTTATTCATTTTTACGTCTTTCCACTTTCTATGTTTCTTCTTATGCTTTATCCTCTTCATCCTTAAAACATACTCCTTCTCTTCCTTCTCTGAAGGAGATCAGTGATCAGGCCCATTCAATCAGTGATCTTATCATTGAGTACTAAGAATGCCTGCATGCATGGCTTTCTACTGGTCATGTAACAACAATGCATGAGCCAAGCTCACTGACCTCCAGTTGCTTTCAGAGAAACAGGCATTTGCACTATTATCCACAACACAAAGTGGGCATGGCAGGGACCATCTACAAGGGGTGGCAGATGGACTGCCCTGGGAGCTCCTGACTCATGGGCTCCCCCTACTGTCTCTGGACTCTGCTTGTCTGCAGTTCCCTATCCCAGTATAGAGGTTGCCCTCTTACCAGCGTCAGCCGAAGCATAGGAGGAGAAGAGTGTGGCCAGGAGCTTGAGGGAGGACTTCTGGTACAAGCCCACCACTGTCTCGTTGAGTGGGTCCTTGTTTTTTTCCAGCCAGCCCAGGATGTTGTAGTCTACAGTGCCAGCATAGTGCACCAAGGAGAAATGGGCTTCTTGTTTCCCTTTCACATTGCGGGGCTTCTGGAAGTTGTTGGACTTGCCCAGGTGATTGTCATACAGCTTGGCCTTGAAGGTCATGTCAGAGGCCTTGGGGAACATGCACTCCTCCTCCAGGATGGACATGATGCCCATGGGCTGAAGGCAGAATGGACAGGTAAAAAGAGACTCTCTAAGCATACTACTAGATTTTCAGAATCCCACATCCTGACAGCGAAGACTCTACACCCACCATTGTCAATAATCAAAGGGAGCCTGTCCTAGAACCTCTAACTCTATGATAGAAAGCCACTTTTCCTGGAAGTTACCTAAGTCTAGTTATATTCAGTCAGTCCCATATGACTCTCTCTTGCCCCAGTGGGCCTGCAAAGGCCTATGTATTTCTAATCACCTTTTAGGACTGCAATATATTTCAGCACAGCCCCCTTCCCCTGAGAGCTCACTGTCCCAGGTATATAGAGCCAAGGACAGATGTGTGTCAGAGGAACCAGGTTTGGGGGCTGGGCCGGATCTCTATAGGACCCTGGTAGCAATTCAAGTATTGACTAGAGGGTTCTAGATTCTATACAACACCATCCTCCAGAGAATGTGGTGCTTGGCTTAGAGTGGGAATCCTTTTGAGAATTTGGTGAAGTAAAAAATGTTTATATCAGCTGTATACTGGTGGCTCACGCCTGTAATCATAGCTACTCAGGAGGCTGAGATCTGAGGATTGCGCTTCAAAGTCAACCTGGGCAGGAAAGTCCGTGAGACTCCAATAAACTACTCAGAAAACTGGAAGTGGTGCTGTGGCACTAGCCTTGAGCTGAAGGGCTGAGGGACAGCGCCCAGGCCCAGAGTTCAGGCCCCACAACCAACCAACACACACACACACACACACACACACAAGTTTGTATCAGTTGTATACTGGTAGCTCATGCCTGTAATCCTAGCTACTCAGGAGGCTGAGATCTGGTTTAAAGCCAGCCCCAGAAGGAAAGTCCATGAGACTCTTATTTCCAGTTAATCATCAAAAAGCTGGAAATGGAGCTATGGCTCAAGTAAGGTGGTAGTCTTAAGAAAACAAAGGGGCTGGGAAGGTGGCTCAGTGGTAGAGTGCTTGCCTCACATGCATGAGGCCCTACATTCGATTCCTCAGCACCATATAAACAAAAAAGCCGGAAGTGGTTCTGTGGCTCAAGTGGTAGAGAGCTAACCTCGAGCTAAAGAGCTGAGCTACAGTGCCCAAGTCCAGAGTTCAAGCCCAATGACCGACAAAAAAATTAAAAAAAAAAGAAAACAAAGCACAGAGGCAGAGTCCAGGCTCTGAGTTCAAGCCCCAGACCCAGCACTTACACATACACAAAATGCATGTAAACACACACACACACACACACACACACACACACACACACACTTTTCTCTATATAGCCATAGGGATTCTTAGGCCTCTGGAAGATGAGAACTCTGGTTCAGATTATCTGTAATGACCCAAAACTTGTAGGAAGCTCCATTTTTGGAAGGCAGTGACTGGCTGGTATGGGTCAGATAGTCAGGGCTGTGGTAGCAAAGAACAAAGGCAGTCTGACAGCAATCAGCATTGGGACAAGGTGCATTCATTCTCCTATTTCTACTGATGAGTATCTATAGTCAATAGGAACTAGAGACTGGCTTAGTTCTTAGTGAACAGGAAAAAAGTTGGGAAGCCAACTTTTCTAGTTTCAGCCTAGAGAAGCTTTCCACAGAGGACATTTCCCAAAAGGTATAAAGGGACTGAGAGTTACAGGAGGTAACCACCATACACAGTGACAAGATCTAAAGTCCTGAGGAAAGAATGAAGGAGTTCTTCCTATGTATACCCATGACCTCAGAGTCAGGGAAGCTGAGCTTGAAGAAGAGTTTTGGATTCTGAGGATTCTAGTTTTTCAAGGGCAGAAGGGAAAGAGCTGCTACCATATTGGGGCAGTTCATATGGGAATGTAGTGGAGGGCTCAGATGACACAGCAGGGCAGCACCTTTTCAATGAGGTCGATGCAGGCCTGCAGGTCCATGCCAAAGTCAATGAATTCCCACTCGATGCCCTCCTTCTTGTACTCCTCCTGCTCCAGCACGAACATGTGGTGGTTGAAGAACTGCTGCAGCTTCTCATTGGTGAAGTTGATGCACAGCTGCTCAAAGCTGTTGAACTGTGGCAGAGACAGAGGGACAGCAGGTCAGGCAGGCAGTGTCTGGGGGGCCATGGGGACAGTCTAGGTCTGTGCCACACTTGGCCAGGTCCTTCAGGGCTGTGTCTGGTCTCCTCCCAGGCCAGGACAGGAGAGAGAGGGCTTCCCTGAGGCAGGGAGGACAAATGCCTCTGTCATGATCCCCACTGCAACCCATGTCTGGCCCATGGCTAACCCTCCACCAATGACTGAACGTGTGAGTCAGTGTTTTCCCATGGCCAGGGCTTCCCAACTCACATCAAAGATCTCGAAGCCAGCAATGTCGAGGACTCCTATGAAGTACTGTCGTGGCTGCTTGGTCTCCAGGGTGGCATTGATGCGTGTCACCATCCAGTTGAACATCTTCTCGTACACTGACTTGGCCAGTGCACCAATGGAATAGTATACCTGCTGTACACTCTGCCCCTTGGTGACGTATTCGTTACCCACTTTCACCCGTGGGTGGCACAGCCCTTTGAGCAGGTCAGCTGAGTTCAGCCCCATGAGGTAGGCAGACTTGTCAGCATCTGGTTAAGGAAAGGAAGGGAATTTCCAACCACAGCCTTTTCTGCCCCAAGCCACTTCTGATTAGTGTAGTTGTGGGCTTGGGAAGATCACTTGCCTGTCTATCTCCTTACATCCTTGTCTCTCTCTTGCCCTTAACCCACCCTACTACCCCACAGCCTCATGTTCTTCTGCTTGTCTGGGGATGGTAGGCAGCTAGAGGCGTTGCTGGGTCCTGAGTTTCCAGCCAGGCTGGAGGCTGCCCTTGCCCTGGGGAGAGGTGTCACTTTTCTAGCTACCTGCTTCTTGTACTTCTTTCTTTATTGTGGTGCCAACAACCCTGTTGCTAACCTAATTCTTTAAGAATCATTGAGAAGCCAGGTGCCAGTGGCTCATGCATGTAATCCTAGCTACTCAGGAGGCTGAGATCTGAGGATTGTGGTTCAAAGCCAGCCTGGGCAAGGAAAGTCTGTGAGACTCTTATCTCCAATTAACCACCAGAAAACAGAAAGTGGCGCTGTGGCTCAAGTAGTACAGTCCTAGCCTTGAGCTGAAGAGCTGAGGGACAGCGCCCAGGCCCAGAGTTCAAGCCCCATGACTGACTAAAAATAATCATTGAGAGGTGGGCACCAGCGTCTCGTGTTTGTAACCCTAGGTCCTCAGGAGGCTGAGATCTGAGGACTGAGATTCAAAGGCAGCCCAGGCAGAGGGAGAGACAGAGAGACAGAGAAACACAGACAGAGACAGAGAGACAGAGACAGATATAGAGACACAGAGAGACAGAGACAGATATAGAGACACACACTCAGAGAGTGAGAAAGAGAGGCCCCAATTCTAGAGTTATGCAAAAGCTGGCAATGATGCTAGGCTGTCACATGACCCAGAGTGCTTTAAGACTCTCCCCAGAGCCCACTAGGTAGCCAGAACTCAGACACTAGAGCTCTAGATTTTTAGATTTGTTCTATAATTCAAAGCTCAAGCTGGTCCAACCAAATCACCACACTGAGGAGAAGCGAGGCAGGAGATGGGGAGCTAGAGTGTATGTGGCAGTCTGTTGAGTTGAGCTAGGATTATTCCTTGAGCTAGGTTCTAGCATAGAAAATCAGAAAGGGGAAGGCCAGGAGCTGGCAGCTCACACTTGTAGTCCTAGCAACTTAGAAGGCTGAGACTGAAGCTGGCCTGGACAGACAAATCTGTGAAACTCTTATTTCCAATTAATCACCCTAAAGCCAAAAGTGGAGCTGTGGCTCAAGTGATAGAGCGTCAACTTTGAGAGAGGAAGCTAAGGGACAGCACCCAGGCTCCGAGTTCAAGCCCCAATATAAGCACACAATGTGAGGGAGTCAACTCCCAGTGCCTGTATCTGGTATCACATTTCAATGTCCCTTTTAATTCCAGAGAGCCCCTCAGATCTTTTCAGTGCTACCTTCGGTGCCATCCGGTTCTGCCTGCTCCTCCCGCTGCTTCTGTTTGAACTTCATGTTTCCATAGTGCATGATGGCACCTGTCAGCTTGTAGACACCAGCTTTCTCCTCGGAGGTGAAGCCCAGCACATCAAAGGCACTCTGGGACAGATCGAGAGGCACAGTGATTAGGAGGGGTCCAGGAGCTGTCAGGAGCCATCACAGGCCTCCCCAGCCTCTTCACTCACATCGGTGGCCAACAGCTCCTCAGAGTCATCGATGGAGGCCACAGACACCTCTCCCTGAGACACAAAGGCATAGTCGTAGGGGTTGTTGGTGACCAGCAGCATGTCTATGATAGGCAGGAGAGGACAAGGGGTGGGGAGAAGTCAAGAGAAGGGGAGGAGAATGGAGGAAGAATGGAGAAGAGGGCAGGGAAGAGAGAGAGAGAAAAGAATCAGCAAAGACCAAAGAGAGACTATGGGAAATGAAAGTACACAACGGGGACCCAGGAAGGGAAGAGTGAAGATTCCAGCAAAAAGGAAGGTAGAGATTGCTAAGCACCAGTGAATCACACCTGTGATCCTAGCTACTCATGAGAGCAAGATCTGAGGATTTCAGTTCAAAGTCAGACTGGGTAGGAAGATCTGTGTGACTCTTAGCTTCAATTATCCACTAAAAAAAAAAATAACACCCAAAAACCCAAAAAACAAAAATACCAAAAAGAACCCCCCAAAATCAAAAGTGGAGCTGTGGCTCAAGTGGAAGACAGCCAGTCATGAGTGAAAAAGCTAAGTGCCCAATCCCTGAGTTCAAGTTCTAGTGCCTTGAAAGTGATCACTTTACAGACCTTGGGGGTGAGGGGGGAGAGTGTAGAAGGAGGAGAAAGCAGGGAAGTGGATCAGAGTGAGAGGAAGAAGCCTCCTGCACAGAGGAGGGTTTTGGGGGTAGACATGGGGTAGTGGAGCTGGCTGAGCTCACCCAACAGCTCTGGCTTCTTGTTGGACAGGATCTGGTAGAAGATGTGGTAGTTCCTCTCAGCCTTTAGCTGAAAGATCACCCGGGACTTCTCTAGCAGATCTGGTGTGGAGAGACGGGGAGAAAAGCAAGTTAGAGATGGTGAGAGGAAAGAGGGAAGGGCCAGCAGAAGGGAGGAAATCAAGGAGACAGGTTTCTAAGCACAAATGAAGAGACCCAGGGGAGGGGGCAAATTTAAAGACAAAAGATGAGGCAGATGCAAACCAAGACAGAAGTTGGAGGGAATGGAGATCTGGCTTCAGAGCCAGGAAGGGAGGTAAAGGAGGAGGATCCAGGCACACAAGTGCTATGCTGGTACTCACAGGTTTCTATGTCTGCAGAAGCCAGCTTTCCAGTGGCTCCAAAGTGGATCCTGATGAATTTCCCCTGTGGGCCAATGGAACAAAGCGCAGGAACTGACCAGAAGGGATAGTACAAAATCCTGGACTTCAACCTAACTCAGAAACCCCTGGGTGGTTCTAGAATGGAAGTGATTATTTTGCTATGTTTACTCTCCGTGCCCCTCTTCATACACTCTTGGGGGTTCTGAATGGAAGGAACCACCAAGGGATTGAGTTGTGTAGAATACTTCCTGTGTGAGCCTTTCATTTTTTTCTCGTGCCATCCTGTGAGCATTCTGCAAGGTGGATATCATTAGCCCTGCCTCACAGGTGAAGGAACAGGATGGGGCTCAGGGAGATGTGAAAATCAGGCCTCTGAACCCAAAGTCTGTGTTCTCAGGTCCATGAGGAAGAGCTTTGGAAATATGTACAAGAGAAATCTAAAATATGATCAGCATCTATTCGTTTCTTGGCTAAGAACAGCTGTGATGACTGGATCTTTTTTTCCTCAGGTTCTTAGAACTCAGGGAAGCAGATATGTAGTGTGTGTGTGTGTGTGTGTGTGTGTGTGTGTAAGAGAGAAAGAGAGAGAGAGAGAGATCCTAAAGCAAGATACAGTACAATCAACTGAGTGTTCTCTCTGTTGGTAAAACAGCCTCTCCTTTTCTTTCAGGGCTAGATGTGGGCATTTGGCTGTGGTTAAGAGTCACTCACAAAGCGGGAGGAGTTGTCATTCCGGACTGTCTTGGCATTGCCGAAGGCTTCCAGAGCAGGATTAGCCTGGATGATTTGGTCTTCCAGGGTGCCCTATGGAAGAAGCAGAAACTTGGGGGTCGATTCTCTGTCTACCTCCAGGAGAAAGTTGGAAAACAAGGAGACTTCTCTGGGCATCGGGTGAGGGATGGGGCTGGCTAAGTTGCTGGGGGATTGTTGGGCTATACTCAGATAGATGGAAGAATATCTATCTGCCTACTGCTGTGATGATCTTCCACATCAGGTGCCTTCCTCTGTTTCCTGCCCCCACTTTTTGAGCCAGTGGCCCACAAGTTACCTTGCTTGCATTAGGACTGTCCTTCTTGCTTCGGTCACCTATGGCTGCAATGCTGGCAAAGTACTGGATGACACGCTTTGTGTTCACAGTTTTCCCTGCTCCGGATTCTCCACTGGGGGCAATAAGAACCAATGAGTACCTGACTCATCCAATTGTAATCCCTCTGTACATTAGCTTTACAATAACAAGAAAGTAAATAGAAAAAAGTTCCAGTGAGAACCCAGGATCCCATAAAGAGCTCAGTGCTCCATCTTCTTCCATGATGACCAGTCCAAGGAACCAGAACTCAACCCAAAACCTCTCTTCCCCATTTGCACCTTCAGGAGACAGCCTGGGTGCCTCCCATCTCAAGGCCCTATGGGTAGATAGTGCTTACTCACGTGATGAGGATGGACTGGTTCTCCCGATCTGGAAAAGAGAAGACACAATGGGGTGAGGACCGAGGCCCAGGTGGGTGGTGGGCGGAGGGGACACCATCAGGTGCCAGGCTCACCTGTCAGCATGTACTGATAGGCATTGTCTGAGATGGAGAAGATGTGCGGTGGGGCCTCACTTCTCTTCTTGCCCCGATAGGCAGCCACCACCTCGGCATTGTACACTGGCAGCCACTTGTAAGGGTTGACAGTGACACAGAAGAGGCCTGAATAGGTCTGGAGCAAGAGACAAGGCTACCATGAGGTTGGTGGGAACAGGCTGGGATCATAAGTGATAAGTGATGCCATCTCTGCTCACACTAGCCAACACATTTATTTCTACACCTGACCAGGAGTGGATAGGGGGGAGTGGATCCCTTGGGAGAATACCACTTCCCTCTCTTTGGGAAGATCCTCCTGGCCTGCTTAGGCCTTGGTTTGGGATGAGGACTGGCCTTGGTTTGGGATGAGGACTCCTTGCAGCCACTCACGTAAATCATCCAGGCCGCATAGCGTTCCTTGAGGTTGAACAGCACTGCGGGCTCGTGCAGGAAGGTCAGCATGGCCATGTCCTCAATCTTGTCGAACTTGGGAGGGTTCTGCTGCATCACCTGGTCCTCCTTCACGGTTACTGTCTAGAGAAGGAGTGTGGGCAGTAGAACAGGGTGACCAAATTCTTAGCAGGACCCTTGCCAATTTTGCCCTCTCCCCAAGTCAGCCCTGACTAGACTTTCCTCTCCCAGTTCCTCCCTGAGCAGAACTTTAGCCTTTGGCTTCATAGTTCTCCTAGGACACAGTCTCCTGAAGTAGTTTTCCTACCTGAAATAGTTTTTTTCACCATAAAGACTGTGTTTCTCTTGTCAGTTCCTCAGATTTTTGTCCAATGACTATCACCTCTTAAGTCCGAATGTTTCAAGTATATAGAGGCAAACCTTGGAGCTGGAAATTCTCAGATCAATGCACATCATACCCTGACCCAGTGGCTGTCTCCTGTGCTCAAGGGCATCAATTGCTCTAGGTAAACCTTCTCCCTTGCTGGACAAGCCCCTCTTCTTTCTAAGTCCCTCACCAGTCAGGGTTGGTATTTGATTGACATCAGTTAGCTTTCCATGTCCAGATGCCATTAAGCCTGCTGGTAGACATTTCAGAATTTTGTATAGTGATAGAGTCTGTGGCTCTAAAATGATTCAATGATTTGCAGATCTGGGATGAGAGTCAAAGCCCCTGTGGATTTTGACCCTTTATTCTATTGCTCAAAGGGATGTAGCACTCAGTCAGCTAGTCCGTGAGACTCACAGCTCTGATCCCCGCTGATCTGATTTTCATGGTTGGTAATGAGCAACCCGGGAGCACATGTTTCTAAGTACCAGTCCTGAACCTCAGGACTGAGCTTTGCAGCTTGAGATTTCCTGCTCTTTGTTTTCATGTGAGTCTAAGAGTTCGCACTTAACTGGAATGGAGGGAATTTGAGAAAGTGAGTCTGTGGAGAAAACTGAGGCAGAGAGGAACGAAAGCAAGTGTCAGAAGGGAGCTTCATTTAATGTTGTGTCTGTGCCTTCTTCATCTATAAGACTCTCTCAGGAGGAAAACGGCTGAGTTCTATCCAACCCCCACTGAACATCCTCTAGAGATGAGCACCCCTGGGGTAAGCCCTGATCGGGTCCATCTGATAAGCACAGATCCAGGGGTTCTCAGGGAATCATGTCCTGGGATCCCTAGAACATTTTTTTAACATGCTCAGCTCCCATTACGGGTGTTATCACTCCAGAATTCTTCCCTGCCACCGGAACCTTCCCTCCTGCTGCCCTCTGTGCCCCACATACCTTGCCATTCTCTGTTTCAGCAGTGACCTTGCCCCCCTCTCGGGACACTATCTTGGCCTTGACAAATTCCTCCTTGTCATCAGGCACAAAGCACTCAGTGCGGATGTCAAAGGGCCGGGTTTGAGCCTCTAGACGCTCCTTTTCGGACTTGCGGAGGTACTGGGCTGCCTCCCCGAAATCGGCCATCTGAGCATCCGTCATCCTGCTGTTGTTCTAGAATCAAGACAAGAGGGATTGGCTGTTCCTGACATGAGCTCCTGCGGCTGGCCTTTTCCTCCACATCCACCAGGTCATATTGCTAGCCTAGGCCCATCCTCACCCCTACTTAGAATTTGGCTTCTTTTTTTCTGCCTCTTTGCTTCCTCATCTGGAGGAAGGTTTCTGAAAAGGGTTTCTATGGGATTGGTTAGAGTTTGATAAAGGAAGTTGCTGACACAGAGACTCAGTAATCTGGCTCCTAGGAGAACCTGCCCTGATGTCTATGCAAAGGATTGGGGCCATTCTTACCTAGTTATCTCTTCACAGAGAATCCTGAAGATCAGAACCCCAGGTGGAGAAAGGTGCCACAGAAGTGCAGTGAGGCAGAGAGAAAAATAGACAAATTGAACAACAGAGATGAACTGACTGGGAGAAGGTAGCTCAGCCTAGAGAGCCAGATTTTAGCAGAACAAATCAATACATGGAGTGAGGCACAGATAAGGCAAAATAGATAGGGCACAGAAGGTTTGGGGATGTAGCTCAGTGTGGAGTGCTAGCGTGCACAGGGCCCTGGGTTTCATCCTTAGCGCCTCAAAAGTTAGGAAGCAAGGAAATAGTGTTGGTAAAACTATTAAGAGATGGGATGTGGACACAGTAAGAAATAGAGACAGGAAAATTAGAACACATAGCCAAGAAGGAAAGAAGGGGAGAGAGAGAAAAAAAGAGAGGGGGGATGGTAGCAAGAATCAAGATAGAATGGGACAAAGAGAATCCAAAGGAGGGAGAAAGAAAAAAAAGCAATGAGTAGAAGATACAGAATGGTCCATGGAAGAGATAGCTGATGTTTTCCATGGAAACCCTTGGTCAGTGGGAACTTCCCGGGGCTGGAGGAAGACAGTTCTAGCAGAACTTGTAGAGCCTCCGACTGACCTGTACCCCACTCCCAGAGAAATCAAGGTCCCTCAGGTAGCACATATCGGGACTGCTGTAAAGGCCCAAACACCCTCTTACCTGGGTTGGAAGAATCTCTGTGTATCCTCAAGGCTCCAGCTCCTTTATATGCCTGTTCTCCCACCCCACTGCCTAAATTTGGAGTCCTTCTGGAGGGACCCTCCCTCCCTCCTACCTCTCTCCCTTCCTAGCTCCTCCTCCTTTGATCTCTTGGCTCTGGAGGTGACAGGAGGACAGCAGGGCCCCCAGGTTTGCCCATGAAAGGTCTGTTGCCTTCGCCCCTTCTGCTATAGGGCCTTTTTTTAGTCCTTGGGCACATTCCTCCCCTCCAAAGGGCTGGTGGGCAGATAATGGAACGACAAGACCTTCTCCAACCACCTCTCCTGTCCTGCCATGGCCCTTACCTCAGTTATTTTTAATCCGAAGGGTGAATTGAGCACACTGAGTGAGGGTCACCTTCTGCAAGCCAAATGCTTGTCCTCTTACCCCCCCGCCCCAGGCTCCCTTCCCTGGTTCCTTACCCTCTCCTTCCCACTCTGCTGTCCTCATATAGCCTTAGGCTGGGAGCATCTCTCTACTCTCTGAGACCTGCTGTTGCACAGTGTGGGATTGGGGGCTGGAGTCAGGAAGCTCAGGAAGGGTGTCCACTGTCCAACATTGTGACTCAATTTTCTTTTGTGAAGGAAAGAAGCTCTGTCCTGCCTTTATGCTGCACAAATGCTGGCCATGGTTTCTATTCTTCATCTTTAAGCACATATCCTTCCAGAGACTTGGGGACAAAGCTTGAGCTACTATCCCATTCCTGATCATTCCTGACCCAGAGGCTGTCATCCAGCCTCATTAAACAGTGGGAAAGAGTCTCCCATGCTGCCTCAGGCAGATTTGCACCCAGAGCTTCAGTCGAGTGCCCGCTTGTATCACTTGATTTGGCCAAATGTCCATGTCCACTTTTAGCAAATACATGTGCAGATTTTTTCACCTTAACTCAGTTAAGCTCAGAGATTTTTTCCTAGTTACTTTTAAGTATACCAGCACACACATTGGTACACCCATGTTTGCACACATAGGTTTTCACTCTCCCAGGCCACCTGATGTGTGGGGTGGGGGTGGGGGCAAAGAAGTCAGACGTGTTAAGCCTGGGGCCTGAGGGAGAAAGGCGGGGGTAGGGAGCAGCCCCCTTCAACCTCTCTGGGCTGCCAGAGGGTGCAGGTGCTGCTGAGGATGGCTGGGGTGCCTGGCAGGCCTGGGGATTTACACCAGCTGGGCCCCAGGCTGTGCATTCCATGGGGTGGGGCACTGCAGATGGCCTAGGTAGAACTATGGTGTCTTCTTCCAACCCTCCTGGGGCTCATCCTCACATACACATACCCTTCATCATGGTTTCCTCAGTGTCCAGGTCCTTCAAGCACCAGTCCCCATATTCCAGGGCTGTGACCTCTCAGAAGTTGTTGGGTCTTCAGTAGGCTATGCCTGTTATGACTAAGTGGACACTGTGTTCAGAAAACAAAGCCAGTCTCCTTCGCTCTGGCTTTCCCCACACCCTCACACCCAGGAGCACTCTCTCAGCTCCCTGATCCCACCCCATTAACTGTCACCTCTTAATATAGCTCAGGACTGTGGAAGTGGGCAGAATAAGCAGGGGTCAGTCTCTCTGTGTTGGTACTCTCTCCATTAAAGATGTGACTTTTCCCCAAGTTCATCAACCCCCTAGGGTACTTCACTGTCCTAGGAACAGACAGAGCTCAGAACACACATCTCTCCCCAGGATATTTGTACTGTATAGTCAATGTCCTTGAAAGGATCTGAGTTGATCCTCTATAACCCTATCTCTGCAGGTACCTATCCTAAATTGTTACCCCCAGGAGATGTAAGTCACTTGTCCTCAGCTGGATCACTTGAGGTCACTCAAGGTCCCAGTGTGCAAGTTGGGGGTGGTGGTGGGTTAACCCATGGCCCAATGCGTCACTGCCTGGTTTCCAAAGCCCTGGGGACATGATAAGGGGCTGGGAACAGCAGGTCAGGCTGGGTCAGGACCAGGTGACAAAGACCAGGCTCTGTCCTCAGGGAACCCAAAGCACTAAACAGGCCAAACTTGGTGTATGAGGGTGGGAGAGTGAGGAGTGAGCAGCCAGTTCCCGCTGTTTCCTATGGAAGGAAGACCATGGAAGGGGTTAATGTCGTCCTGGGCTCTGCCCCTGTCTGGCCTGGCTTGCCCTCCTCTTCTTTCCCTAGGCCCCCTCCTCTCCTCTAGCTCTCACATACTCTCTCCATCCTTCCTCTGATAACTTTCAAAGCAGCCCTGCATGTTTCTGAAAGTCCTGGAGTGGGTGAGCACAGGACGGACATTTCAGCATGGACACTCCAGCCACAGGTGAGACGGACTCAGAGGCAAGACTGGCCTTTTTGGCACAGATTTCTCCTTTTCTGCCCATCTCCTTGCAGCTCTGTCCCTGTGTCTGTCTTCTTTTCCTTCTTCCTGATTCTCTGTCTCACAATCAGACCTGGCCTACGATTAGCCTGGCCCATGTGTTTGCCTATCTCAGGGACTGACATGAAGCTCTTGCTTCTCTAGCTTGATCTCTTGAGCTCTCAGACTGGCTAGTCTCTGTTTCCATAGCTTACCCAGGTTCCTTTCTCCAGCCTCCCTGATCCTTAGCTTCCTTGACCCAAGATTCTTCCCTTTACCCACTGTCATCATCTTTAGCTTTTCCAGCATCTCTTCCAAAGTTCCCTAACTTCTTTCTCTCTCAATCTCTTCTCAGTATTCTCATTCCCCTGAGACTCATCTCTGTGGTCTGCCTTTGACCCTGCCCTATGTCCAGTCCTATATGTCTCTTAGGATCTGATTACTTAAGTTCCTTGGGCTTCTCTACACATCTCCTTCTTCAAATGTGTCTTCCCTTTCTTTCTAAGGATCTCTTCATTGCCCTTCAAGTCTGTTCCTAGGTGGAGAAATAGTCCTAGGAAGAAGAGATGAGGGTATGAGGAGGAACCTGGGAAGGATGAGTTCAATTTCTGAGGCCTTCTGTGTCCAGGATCTTTTTTTTGTGGGGGGGGGTCCAGTCGTGGGCCTGAACTCTGGGCCTGGGCGCTGTCCCTCAGCTCTTCAGCTCAGGGCTAGCACTCTACCACTTGAGCCACAGAGCCACTTCCGGCTTTTCTCTTTTTGCTTATGTGGTGCTGAGGAATCAAACCCAGGGCCTCATGCATGCAAGGCAAGTGCTCTATCACTGAGCCACCTCCCCAACCCATCCAGGATCTTTTCTATTGTCTGTGTGTTTCCTCTGCTTACACCATCCCTGGGTTCTTTACCTCTCTCGCCTCCCTTTCTCTGCTCTTCTCTCACCTCATCTGCTATTCTCAATAATGACATCCCTTCCTTCCTAACGTAGGGTTCTTACACTGGCTGTTTCACTCAGATCTCAGGCCCAGGGAGGACTTGTAGCAGGAGGTGGGCTATGCAGGAGTATGTTGGAAGTAAGGGTGTGTTGGAAGTAGGGTTGGGGGGAGATTCAAGCCAGGGCTCAAGCAGGGATAAACAAGGTGCCTTGAAGGGGCTGAGAGTCCCAGACCTATCCTAAGTATCCAAGCTCTGGCAGAACTTCAGTGTGGAACTGGGCTTGCTTAGTTGGAGAGGGACTTGCTCCTTCCTATGACACTGAGCTCTCCAGGGACCCATTCCTCCCTCCTTTCAGAGTCTTGCATGTATATGCCCCCCTCTACCGTCCCTCCTTTGTCTACCTCCCCTTGAGATGGCTTGCCACACATGAGCCAAAAAACCCCTCTTTCAGATGCTGCAGAGGAGGAAGGCCTTGAAAATGGAAGCTGCAGTGGAAGAAATGGAAATATTTGGGCACCTTGGGCCAGGGGTCTGGGCCCTGGAAGGAAAGGAAAGGAATAGAGAGAGCTAATGGTACTGTCTCCTGGCTGGGTGGGGAAGGGCAGGGGCCTCTGGGGTCACTATACCTGGAAGCATATGTGACCATAGTTCTTGAGTCCTCTCAGACACCCACCTGGGCCTGAAGCTCGGGGAGCTGTTACTTCACCTGCCT